AAAGAAAAAGTGATTGATAAGAACCTGGCTCCAGCAGAGCACCTGGCGGTCTGAGTACACTTTACAACCCAGGACACCCACAGCGTTAGGGAAAACATATTGCTGCACATCCCACAAATCAACCCACCCACTGCTTGGGCACTTTACATATCCAGTGTGGCACCAGTGCATCGTCTTTGCGTCCCTGTGCCCTGTGCATCTTGTTTTAGAGGGTGAGGACAGTGAGGTGCCACCTTTGCACGGTGTTGCACCCCCAGGCTCATTTCTCTCATCTGTTTCCCACAGCAGCTCACCCCAGCATTGGTTTCCCACACGTGATGGACGGGTGCCCACACTGCCATAGATGAGGGCTCCACTCTTGTGGATAAGTGGAAATGTCAGCAGCCCTTGTGGGCTCCCAGAACAGAACAAGTGGAGGAAAGGGCCTGGCTTTGGCCCATGGTGCCTGTGGCTCACTGCGGCAAGGAAGCTGCACCCCACAGGCAGGGTGCAGACAGGGCAGCCAGCGAGTGCCCACCTCCAGCAAACCCTGTGGACACATCCGTAAGCCCATCCTGAAAAGCAGCATGGCAGGACTGAGCCCCATGGCAGTGAGGAGGAGGGACAGGGGGCTCACAGAGCCCATCAGAAAGGGATTTGGTTTTAACTGCTAGTTTACTGCCTGCTGGCAAAGTATATGGCTGTACAATAAGGGAAAGGCTGGAGGAAGGTGTTTGAAAATCAGGCTAACCCACTCCCAGACTCATGAAAGAAAAACACCACCAAAGCAGCCCCCCACTGGCCCCACAGTTTTGGGGAGGGGAAGCAGTTTTGAAGCCTGAGAACAATGGGGTGACCTTTCCCTCCTTTCTTCTGGCAAAGGTAAAAGCCCTCCCTGCAGAGGTGTCCGCACCAGGGAAGCTGCTGATTGAGAAGCCCCAGGCCAGTAAAGCATCCCTTTGTGCCTTCAAACGCCATGTCCGAGCGCTTCCCAACCTCCATTGCTCCTGCCTGCGGGCAGCACTGGCGAATCTCGGCCCTCACAGCAGCAGGTCACCGGGCAGATCCCCGACCAGAGGCAGCGGCACGGCCATGCCGGCGCGGAGGGTGCCTGCCAGCGCTGGACCATGTGCTTCCCATGCGTGGTGGGGCAGCTCGGAGGGCTCAGTTTTCCCTTCTGGAGGAGCCCCTCTGTCCCCATCAGTCCCTGCTTCTCCTGTTTTGCCTGACTTCCAGGACAGCAGGCAGAGGCCGACGTGCTGCAGACGGCTGCTGAGCAAAATCAGAAGCACAGACCGAAACATGACTAATTTCTAACACATCACAGCCTGCGAGTCATTTTGTTTGTGAGCCTAAATCGCTCTCTGCTGCTTTCATACCGGCTTGTTTCAAGGGTGAGTAAGCAGACAGCGGCAGACATGACTTTTGTTATTCCCAGAGCTTTGAAGTTGTACCATTTCACTGTGGTTAGCTGACTGCATCAGCCGTTTGTAGCAGCGCATTTCGAAGAACTCAGCAACAATGCACAGGTAGCCAGACCGAGCGGAGCTGGAGCTCAGCATATTCCATTGACGGTATTTCGTGGTGACTCATTAGTTGCACGCCCTCTATTACTCATTGTTTTTATCCCGTCATTTTATTTCAATATTCTTCACAACTTCCAAGAAGGCCCTTTCACAGACAGAGGTCAAGGGCAATGAAAACAGCTTCAAGCTGTAACTGAAGCCCCTTTCTGTTAAATTAGCAGTGCACGAGTTAAAGTGGATTTTATGATGAATATTCTTGAAGACTAAACAATGCCTCTTGAAGAGGGAGAAATATGGAAAAACTGTTCTAGCTACAACAGTGTGAGCGTTTCATGTATTTATACATGTGTATATACTCATACATATGCAAAAGGATAAACACAGAAACATGCATCTATTAGACAAGAAAGTGAAGCTTCCTGCATTTTTGAATGGCTCATTTAAAAGAGCTTATTCCATACATATGTTTTTTTATATTTAGAAATACAGCTCTTGCACACATTTTTGAGACAGAATCGTATGTTTTGTTTCCATCCCAGGTTAAACCGCTATGGCCCTTTTTCTCCTGCTGCTCCAGAATTCCACATTTCTCATCTATATTTCTACATTTAACCACTTATAACTTGACTGACAGATCATCAAGAAGACTCTTTGCCTAGCATGAAGCAGCAGAGTTTGAAAGCATGCAGTATTTTTAGTGCAAAACCCACGTGAACTTCAGCACAAATATGAACCTTTTGTCAATTGGAGGCATAAGAGCCACTTCCCCAGGAGAAGGTGGCACCACAAACACCCAAGTCTAGGCAAAAGTGCTGGACTTTAATTGTGAGGTTATTTACACAGACCAATTCAAATTCTACTTTTAATTCCAGTGCCAAAAGTTTAGGGCTCAGGATAAATCACTCTCCGTCTTGAAAGACGCTGACCACATTTATGGCTCATTTCAGAGTCCAAGGGTCCAGGCCGAGATGAAAGGTCAGGGGCAGAGCAGGGCGATGCCCCACATCCAGCACCACGGAGGGCTTGGGCTCTGGCAGTGGGGAGAGGAACTGACAGATTCAGTTCCCAGCAGCACTTGGCACTCTTGCGTAACCTCAGATGTGTCATTTAACCTCCTGCTGACTCAGTTCCTCATTTGTGCCATGGAAATAACACCACTTCTTTATTTTGTAGGAGTTTTGGGCAGATAAGTATCTTTTAATTTGGTATCACAACCCACTTGAGAAGCATAACTAAAATAGAGATCAGTTACAATCTAAAGAAATGACACAAGCGAGGGCTGGGAGGAAGGAACGAGATGTACAGTACAAAGGCGGGGAGCTCTCCGAACTGAGCTGATTTCTCGTATCACCTCAGGATAGTTGAGAGCGGGAGCCTTAGCTCCCCATTCACAATGGAAGATTCCAGGGACCTCATGGTTTCCCCTAAGAGTTAAGGCTCACTTTGTAAATGCAGTTTCCCTTCTCTCCCTACCACACTTGACAGGTCTTGGCCATGAGCTGAAGCACAGGAGAGATGCAGATCCTGGGTTAGGATCCCGACTGGGCCCCTGCTCCCTGGGAACTCCCTGGGTCCCCTCGGAGCTCCGCAGTGCCTTTGCCTCCTGGTTGTGAAGGACCAGCTGTGCAGCTCCCACATCCCTGCTCAGTCAGCCGGGGAGGGAACCAAAACACAGCACCTCTCCTCACGAATCTGGTGCACCTCTGCCTCCCCTGCAGCTCCCCAAAGGCAGGACACCCCACCTGAGTCCCTGCTGGACAGGTGTTTGAACCCCTGGGCCATGTCGGACTTTTGAAACTATATCATGTTTTGGCATGTCAGACATCTGCATGACCCAAATTCTTCTACCTTAACTGTGAAGTACAGCAGGTGGAGCTGGGCTACCTGGGCCAGCGTGCCCCACTGCATTGTGCTCTGCATCACCATCCCTAACATAGACCTGGCAGCCGCTGCAGAGAGATGTGCACAGACAGATAAGGTTTTAACACTAACGACCTTGCAGTCCTGTCCCCGACACAAATGTTCGCTCCAGGTGCTACGTGGCTGACCACAATCCTCCTCATCCTCAGCACGTTTTGGTGGGTGAGCCAGGGGAGGTAACAATACTTCTCCTTTTTCACAGAAGACAAAGCTGCGGAAGACGCTGATTCCCATGGCAACAAAGGCAGAGAAGTGTCCCAAGATGTGATTTGCTGTCACCATACCCACCTCGTGGCAGATAAGCACAAGTGATATCTCTGAAAGGAACTGTTTCCATGGGACCCTTCCCAGCGAGCCCACACGATGACAACCCAACAGTCAGGCACAGCTTTCGGTGTCAAACAGGTCTGACTGGTAGAAAGCAATGCTGTTTCCCCATAGCAAATGCTGCCGGTGTCTCATCCTCTTCTGAGGAACAGTGCCCTCCTCGCTCCCCTCAAAGCCTGCCTAACCCCAAACAAGCCACGCTGCTGCTTGCTAATCCACTTACCCAGGCAATTACACTGGGATCGCAGCCTGCAGAGAGCTACCCTCAACTTCTCAGCTAAACATCGTCTGGGTTTTTTTTAATCCATGGAGTGCTACCTTAAGCTATGTTGAAAGCTCCTCACAGAGCACACATTTATGCTTTGGTAGTGCCTGCTATGTAAGTGCATTTCCTTCTGACACTTTCATTTATCATAGTTCTCCCCTCCCAACCCTGCCCCTTCAGTTCCCTGGGGAAAGTTAGTGAATTTATGCAGGAACAAAGTCACCTTGAGCTTTAATCCACACCCTAGCAGAAGGAATACGTCTGTCGGCAATCACATCCACCCACTCGGCAACTGCATTACAATGTTCACTTTGTTAGCACAGAAAATACTGGCTCCTTTTCTAGTCCTGGAGACAAGCTACCACAAAGGCTGGAGCAAAGAAAATGGACTGGGGACAGAAGAGGAAGGAATCTGGCCCTGCACATTTGAGGCTGAACAAGTAAACTGAGGTGAAACAGTAGAAGTTGGAAGAAAAGAGCAAGTCAGGGAAACTGAGTCCTTGTCTTATGACAAACCCTTCAAAAGAACTCCCTGCTCCCTTCCCGTACGAGAAGTGAAGGCACTTCAGAAAACTGCGGTCACAGAAGGCAGTCAGAGATCCTCGTCCAACTGATAGCAAAGCAGCAGCCACAGCAAGTGGCAAGGTGCAGCAGAACCAAGCGGCAGGCACCCAGCTGCTGGGACCATGGCTCCATGTTCCCCCAGCACCTGCCTTCTTCCCTCAGGGAAATCAGCACTGATGCTGCGGATCTCACAGGGCCAAGACAGTGTTTAAAAATGGACCTGGGAGCTCCAGTAGCCCTGAACAGCATCACAGATGCACGCAGAAACAACACCAAGCAGCGAAAAACCACCTCCAGGACAGACCCTATGAGCCCTGCACACGTGCTCCCCTGACGTTTCGGAGGTGTGCACTAATTCAGAAATCACTTGTGCTGGCACAACACTGGCGCATGCCTGCTCTTGCAGGCAGGGCTCCCACCTTTGCATCTCTCCTCACATAACAGCTCCTTTGCATTCAGCAGCAGGAACCTCAGATGCCTGTTGCAGTCAGTCCTACTTGGTGCTGTGCCCTGATAAGCAGTCCTGGGATGAACCTGCTTCTGACTGGAAGGAATGAGATATTAATATTCCCAGAAGGATACAGGAGTTACAGCAGAAGGCAAGGAGGCTGAAGAAGAGGTGAATGGGTAGTTGAGCCAGTCCCAATGAAACTGCTTCTCGGATACTCCTGTCCTTCCGGCTGAATAGCACAGTCAGCTACTACCCAAATGCTTTGTCATCTTTGGCACTTGCTGCAAACACCAGCTTTTGTCAGCCCAATGTTGCTTTTTTCTGCCATGCACCCCAGAGCAGATGAGTGAGTTTCTAGAAACTGGTCCCACCTGACAAACAGGAAAAAGAATGAGAATGTAGATCTCCAGGCGTAGGAGTTCTCTGAGCTCATATTGGAATCCAGGAGCCCAGAGAAATCAATCCATGCCAAATCCCCTGTACGTTGCTTACCACATTATAAAGAAAGAAGATTTAAATAGCACATCTAAGTAATCTCATCCTTATCTGATGTCATTCCACTGGTACACTCTGGATTATGTTGGTACTTACGCAGCTCACAAGGACAAGAGGTGGTGGTGTATGAATTTCCTATCCTTCACAACTGAGCAAGAACATCAGTGGACATAGACTTCATTCTAGAGGTCCAACTCACTTAGAGGTGCATCAGCTACCATCTGCTGCTTTAAAAACTATTCAAAACCAAGATATGTTGTCCCCAAATAGTTTACCTGGGCTTCTATAATATCAGCAGAAATCTTTCTTCTCCTGGCAGAAGACTTAAACCTAACAAGCAAGCCACAAAGCTTGGTATCTTCTGTGCTCCCAGAGTACATTCCGATTCGCCCATTGCATTTGTTTTCATGGACACCTGGGCACTCTTGCAGAGGTAGTCAAAGGAGAGTTCCAGGAGAAGCCCCTGGGATCCAGATGTACACAGACATAATCACCAGCACAAGAGAACCAAAGGGAACATTCACAGCAATTGCCTAAATTCTTCTTTGCATTACTGTAAATATTCATCTAATCAACTCGAATTTAGGAAAAGCTTTAATAGAACGGAGATGCTTTCATGGGCTTGTACGTAACACACCCCTCCCCAACCCAACCCCACAAAGTGGTGTTAGAGCTTGTCTTTATAGCCTTCAGAGAACAGCAGGCTGTTTACTAAAAGGATTAGATAAGGCTTGACAAAGATGTAGGAAGGTGGGCATGCTGTGCCTTAGAAAACTTCTGCAACACAGAACCCAAAACATCACTGTAGGCACTTTCAGTTAGAAAAGAACCTAGAAAAAGACAGGGGCAGAAATTGCAAATAGGCTTGGCAGAGCACTTCGGCCACCACTGGATAGAGGGCAAAATTACATGAGAGTAACCAAGGAGCGGTGTGTCTGAGCCATCCCTTTACTGGTGAGATCTGTGGAGCCAACTAGAAATAGGCATTTTCTCCTTTTACCTCAGGGGGAAAACAATAACCCTTAAAGCATGCTGCTGCTTCTCCTCCCACTTCCCTGCAAAAGGGAAAGCTGCTTTTCTGGGTTTGGTGAGGACAAGAAGCTCACGTGCTCTGTAAGGCTGCCCAGCAGTCGGAGCAGAAGCCCAGTTCTTGCCCCTTTGTGGAGCACTGTGGTGCAGCCACCAGGCAGACTTCCGCGACCTTGGGTTCCAGAACTCCGAGAAAAACAGGATGCAGCAGCATTGCTTGCAGGGCCTCTACTGCACAGACCTTCCTTGATATGGAAAAGCATTATGGGGCTGAAGCACGCCTTTTCTTTCATAATCAATTTGGTCAGACAGTCTGTCACATCCTGGGCTACAACCAAAGCCCAGAAATCAGTTCCTAGTGCACTTCCTTTGTGCTCTGAAGTTAAGTCATTTCTACGCTTCTGCTTGCACAAATATTGGGCTCTGGACATCACAGTGGTAACAAGGAAGACAGTGTTTTCACGTGTACTCAAGCAAAACCCTCCTTCCAGAGTAGGCTGGAAAGTTTCCTGTGAGTAGGAAAAAAGTGACAGAAAAGTGGTGAGAATATGAATTGTTATTTTTCTTGAGGAACAGCATCACAGCAACACCAGACTACCTGGAACTAAGGGACCAGCAAAGGCAGGCATGGAGGTTACTCCAGCAATCTAGTATTGTGCTCAAGTCTGAATTTACAGTAAGCTATAAAACACCAACACAATTACAAAGTTGCCCACTGTGTCCATTTAAACACAGCTAAGTGTAGGTGTGGATTTGTGTTCAAAGAAACAAGCCATAGGAGAGACAGCACAGCAGGGCCAGCAGCCACACAGCACGTTTTAATTTCAAGGGAAGAACACCTGACTTACAAGCGCAAATCAACAAATAAATAAATAAATAAAACCAAGTATATGTTCTGGCTTCTTTATTCAAGACCATTAATTACACTGTTAAGGGCTTCTCTGTTAGGGGACTCTCACAAAGCCTCTCATGAGACTGATCAGGAAGAGTGCCAAACCACAGCATGTGGGAACATGGCCCCCTTTTAGGTTGGGATGAGGGTTTGGTTTCAGCATTAGTCAGGGCTCAAGTCTTCACAGCTATTGAGTGAAAAGCAGCTGTTAGAGCTAGGCCTATAATGAGGAGGAAGAGAAGCACACTCAGCAGAACCATGTTGAGAAGAGTGGAATAAAGCACACAGAAGAATGAGCCCAAATCAAGTTAAAGTAAGTTTATTCATGTGAGATCAGTTTGGACATGATCAGATTGAAAACCTTTCTCCATCTGAGCACCTTGAGAAAATACAGAGAATCAAAAAATCCAGACAACAACAACAAAAAAATCCTGAAGTCACAGGCACGCCCCACTAATTGCGGGTGGCCTCAAAGCACCGCAGCGCACTTACATGCGAGCTGCTGGGCAGCCTGGGCTTGCGGTGCTCCCAACACATCTGACACTTCTCAAGAGGGGACACAACTGTTTACAGGAAACCATTTGTTACAGGGGCCTGCCTCTCCTCCCCCAACCCCTGCGACGTCCCTTTCCCACCGCACCTTTCATCAGAAGCTTATCTGGTGCCCAGACGGCCAGCCAAAAAGCTCAACCAGGTTGGAATTTGAAACCACAGATTCTCAGACACAGTGGCTGCGGCAAACAGTGCCACCATCAATTTTGGAACTAAATTTCAAGGAGTTTTGATTCTATTTGTACAGGGGCTAATGAGTAGCTTGGGATGTGAACACTAACCCCAGGGCATAATTCTGAGAACAGGATGATAGATTGTCGGTCTCCTGCTCTAATTATACAGGCAAAAATTGGAATAGGAATGAGAAGAGACAAGAATAGGATTCAGGTCCCTCATAACTTAATGGCATCATTTTCCCAAACACTGAAAGTTTTTGAAGGGTTAGAAAAAATTGCAAGAATCACCTCCACCAAGAAAGACTCTCAAAACCAAAAGTATAAATTGGAGCAACTGAGTTTCACAGTAAGCAAAGCTGTGCACAGAGCCATCACTGCAGAAGCAGCAATTACCAAGCAACCGTTCAATACAGTAAAACTGTAAGGCACTAATAATGTTCTACTCCTTACAATCAACACATGACTAAAAATTGACATTCATAAATTTAAAAAAAAATAATCACTGTACATTTTAAAAAGGCAACTTTTCCCATTAAAAAAGTTTCTGATTTTCAGCTCCAAGAATTTTCCTGCCCCTAACTCAGGCACCACTGAATAGTTAGACTGAGCGATCAGAAGTTCTGCTGGTTGACACATACCTATCACAATGAAACATCCCAGGGCATAAGCGAAAAACAATTTGTTGAAAAGTCACTCGGTGATCCCATTAACATCACCAATGTCCGAAGTGTCAGTCAGTCACGCTGCTTAGTCACCGCAGTACTGCAAAATACTCAAATACCACCATACTAAGTGCAGTCACGTGTTTTTAGCACTGACTTGCATCTACCTTTCTCTTCAAGATAACAACTCGAGCTTTAAAACCCTGGAGCTTGAGGTCCCCTATGCAGCCACAGGCAGAGGAGCACAGGGGAGATGGCAGCACTTGCTCACTGATGCCATTCCATGAGTACGCTTCAGTCCCTGTCTGGAAGCCCATGTCCAAGAGCAGCCAGATCCCTTAAATTCCTTTAATTCCATTCTGGTTCTCCTTTGCTGGAGATGAGCAATTGCCCAGTGAGTATGAAATCAGTGACACCAGCTTCCTTCAGAGGGTCACCTGACAGACCCATTTGGTCAGTATTGATCAGAGTTCAAATAACAAAGCAGTAGTGAAAGTATTTGTGTCCCATTACTGATCCCCAAAGCCATTCAAGGATCCTTTAGACACAAAGGACCTATTAAGGCTTATTCTGAGATCACAGTAAAGTATTGCACACTATTTGTCTGCTTAAATAGTTAAAAACGGAAATCTCATTTCCCAGAGATTAGCAATATAATTATTATTAAAAAATGCTAAAAACAAATATGGAGGTAACTTCTCCATGTGACTCTACTGGAATATGTGACAGTTAATAGCTAGTGATAGCAGAGGTCTGTCTGTGCAGAGATTTAGCAACAGCATTTTTTTAAACAACCGGACAGCGCAAATTTCAAGTAATTATTTTGGCCCTTTCTAAAAGCTAAAGCGGTCGTAAATTTAGATGACCCATGAAATGCACTGTATGATTTCACCGGCACAATGGAGCATCAAAATTCACTGCAAGACAGCCTCTCCGCCATAAGTTTTAAACAGTCGACCTCTGGACAGGACGTCCAGAAATAAATAAGAAAGGGTATAGCAGTGAGACCACCCAACAGAAGACCCTAGCGTGGCTGCTGACACGGAAGAGCCTGGTGGGCCAGGACCATCTGCCAGTCCCGTGGATTGTCTAGTGTGGGTCAGCAGCTCCGTGATGTGGGTGGTCTCAGGACGGGTATTTGGTACGTCACTATTGAGCTCGCAAAGGCAGGTCAATCGTCTTGCAGAGCCATTTTGAATTAGTCCAAACCTGGAGGACGCAAGAAGCATGTCTCCCAGAGTTTTGCTCAGTTCCTGGCTGTCAGGTCTGTACAACGGTTCTTCCAGAGGCAAGCAGAAGTCACTCAGCCAGCATTCGCAGGTGCCGCTCATGCAGAAGCAATCTGATCTCCCTCACTATTAATGGTGAAATGAACAGGACTGTTGAACTGGTCTGTGAAAAGAAGCACATCCAGGACAATTAGTACAGAGCAACCAGAGCTGCAGCCATCCTGCACTCCAACATGCGTTCAGGGCCTCCCCAGAAAGATACAGGCTAAGAGAAGTGATGACAAAGTGACACAGCAAATGGAAGAACTGAGCTTGCAGGAAAGCTCATACAATTTCAGCTGTCACGATCATCTTTATAAAAAGATGATGAGCTCTTCACCTCCTCAGTGGTCTTCCTCCTGGCCACCTCTGCTGGTGGCCTTTTCCCTTGTCAGCACAGATGCAAAGACAATTCCTGACACTTCTGGCAGGGAAGAACAGGTGAACTGTACAGCATTCACCACTGCGGTTCAGGGCCTGAGCTAACTTCTCTCTCAGCAGTATAACAGGGCAAGGCATTTTCATTTTAGTTTCAAGATCCTCATCACTCCTCCCACTAATCTTCAAGGGCTAACAAACAAGCAACTTAACTTCAGCTCCCTGAAAATATTAGGAACTACATATCACGGAGATGAAGGAGGCAAAAGTCTTGCCTTGGGCGTCCCTCAGGTGGTATGAGCTTTGAGAAATACATACAGGTATATACAGGTATTTTTGGGCAAGTATTTTTGTTGCTCTGCCACAGTCTCAGTTCCTGTTGGGCAACGTGACTTTAAAGGATCCAAGATGAACCCAGTTGATTTCGACGCCCTAAGGCAAAGGCACACCACAGACCACTATGAGAAGGCATCAGAGTTCACAGCTGCCGCAGAAACAGATTTCATGTGCAAGTCACAATTTTCCAGTTCTCACAAACTTTCTATTGCAAACAGAACTTTGACAAAGGATATTTAAAAAGGTGATTTCTTACCATTAGAATAAAGAAATAGAAAACCCACATCCATCCCAGGTTCTCCTGGATCAAAGACACTAGATACTAAACAGAAAGGGGGAAAAAAAATTATTCAGACTGGGAAGATAAGCATGACTTTCAGGCATTACTCTTACATTTTCTAGAATTTGTGGGCTGTTAACACTCCATACAGAGCTGATCACAAAACCTTCCATCTGATCTTTTCCTGTCAGAAGAGATGATTCAGGACAGCAGCCTTTCTGTATAAAACCCACAGTCTCAGCAAAGCAGAGATACCACTCTGAAGCTTTACAGTAACTCATAGCAGCATAAAGACAAAACTGAACAACAGTTTCAAAAGGTGACAAATTGACTCTGGTGAAAACCATGTTTTTGCACAGAACACTAGGACAGAAGTGGATATAAGTACTCTCAGAAGAACTAAAAGCTCTAGAATGGCTTATAAATTAGGACACATTTTCAAGAGCTGTGCAACCACTAACTACTTAACCCTTCATCAAAGGCAAGACACTTGAGACTACAGTTTGTTCCGAACTGCATCCCAAGTTCAATAGGACTACACAGGCTACAAAAGAAAATGTATTCCATATTAGCAGATTTATAGTCTGATGCTGTACAAGGGCCTCCCTTCTTCACTACTGGGTCTACTAGCACAAAAGAGGATTTAAAATTTCTAACATGTTCATTGTGCCTTTGCTGTTATTCACACACCCCCAGAATAACATCATGGTTGTCTATGTTGAAATAAATGAAATGTTAGAATGGGAGGCAGGTGGAATTTTTCAGAACTAAAGACCCAGTTTTGATAATGGCATAAGTTTGAATGGTGTGTGTGGGAAGACAGAAACACTGTAGACAATGCAAGAACACTGAGTGTAACAGTGCACTTTCAAGATGTCCACAAAGCACTTGTAATTTTCCATGTTTAATGGAGCTAAGCGGCATCTTTCCTACAAAATCAGGCAATCAATGGCAAGTACAAACCCAAATCCCTTTCCAGAAAATAAACTTGTAGGCCTTGCCTACATCGTTGGTATTCTACCAGCACTAGAGGATGCCTGGAATAGAACTGGCTCCAATCTTTTCCCTAAATCCTCCCTTCCCCAAAGCACCACTGTGTTCTTCTACATAGTTAATGCTGTATTTGAGAAGAAAGAATGTCCCCAGTGGGTACACTGTCAGCTTCCTTTTCTGCAACAGTCTAGTCTTCAGACCTCTGGCAGAGTACTGTAAGGACTATCTAAGCAAGTGGTGCTGGATTTACAAGGTGTAAGAGACATCCATAGATAAAAAGGGGAACCACAAATAAGAGCAAATTATAAATTACTTTACAAACACTGTAACATTCAGAATAGGTATTTTAATTTTACTCGGTTATACAGGTAAACTCTTCTGTAAGTAAAAGTCTTGCTATTACCTTTGAACAAAAAAAACTCAAACAAACTTCAAAATATTTTATTTTTACTCTTTGTGAAGCTGACCTTGACTTGCTTTTGTAGTTCAGGATGTGAAAGTCTCTAAAATTCGTTTAAATTATGGAAGTGTCCTAACATTAGCACTACGAATACTTAGTTTAGTTCTTAAGTAAACTGCTTCCACTGGAAGCTTAACACACACATGCTCCCTTGTTTTTTTTCTTAAATAAATAATTTCTAAAAAAACCCTCAACTCACTCTCCCTCTCTCCACGCAACTTTGGATTGAGGAATGTGCTAACATCTCTAATCACAACAGACTCTCTACCTCCTTGCCCAGACCTGTTTTCCTTTGGTAGCCTCACCTGGCCCACTGCAGCACCAATACTGCCAGTTCCATCCACAATTCCCGTGACTGTTGCCAGAGCCTCACTGCTGCCTTTCACCAGATCCTGGCGCCCCAGATCCGCAGAAATTGCAGAACTGATCATGTTAGAAGGGCCTCCGATGAAAAATCCTGGAAGTGGCAAGAAAACAGCCTTGGTGAAAAAACAGCATGAGGACAGATTCTCAACAGAACATCTTCAAAACACAGATTTTTTTTACCACACAAAGCTCAGGAAAAGGATTAGGTCTAGGGACAGTGATCACAAACTAATTGTGGGTAGAAGTGTACCCTCACAGCTGAAGCAGTCACACACGGCATACCATGTGTACCTGCAGTACGCACACCGAAATTGCCAACAAGCACATTTTCATCCAACAGCAAAAATGAGGTAATTAGCTGTGGCACAGTCTGCAAGAAGAGTCAGGATACACCAAACTGCATATGTAAAGCTACTTTTAAACAGCATGCATACACAAACCCTCAACACAAAGCAGATTTAGGCCCATTTCTACTCTGGAGTAGTATAACCCCATGCTACTGCCTCAGTCTCCAGGGACTGAAGGAGATGGAAGGGGAAAAAATGCAACAGGACAGAGTTCTGAAGTAGAAGCTTTTGAAATGAAAGGCTCTATTCCTGCAGCCTAATCTTAATTCCATAACACAGCATAGTATGTCAGGTAGCACATAAAGCTTGTGACCTCAGAGCATTTGGGGTTCTGACAAACATCCTCAGATTTGAGCTGGATCTCATGACTTTGCCATGTATACACTTCCTCAGATACCAGATCACTGCTGGGTATTTTGGAATAAAATCTGTCCTCATCATACTGAGACAGGGCAGACCTCTTTAGTTCCGAGCCCTTATTCTATACAGTCTATATTCTATACCTCCCTCTGTAAGTCAGTTTTCCTACAGTTGTATTCCAAAAGTAACAGAAATTGGGCGCCAGCTTCTACTCTTTCTGCAAAACCAGCAGAAATAGCAGCACATGCAAATACAAACACCACCTGAGGCTGGTGTTACTGATTTTTCTGCAGTGTATGGATATATCTACTAACATAACAGTGGCATTTTATCAAATACCTGTAATTGCCATGATCACAGCATTGATAGGTTTGCTGTTTGGAGAACCTGCAAGGGAAAGACAGATGAGGGTAAGTAAAACAAATTAATTTGAGAAAGCCACTTATTTAGGATAAGAAAGAAGCCTGTAAACATCCAGTTTGAACTGCCTGTTCAATTAGCTACATAGCAACAACAATAACCTTCTATTTGGATAAACACTTCTATAGAGATTAGTCTTACTGCAAAGGCATTTAGAGACTAAAGACCCAGAAGTTTCCCGACAGCACTTTACAGCAGAAAAGTCACATTTGCCATTAAAATTTTGTGCCCTGTTTCAGTATCAGATTTGCCTGGATCTGGGCTCCAGCCCTTGTTATGCCTCTTTCTATCACAGGGCTTGCATTTATCCTCCTTGAAAGCCCTTTTGAACAGTGAGAGAATCCTCCCTTTGTCTCTCTGGAGAAGTTAGACTCAACTTAATCTCTCCCACCATAAAGTATTCAGCACTTGAATCACCCTTCCACTCATTCTGAATTTTCAAAAATCTTTTTTTTAAAATACAGAGATTAGATCTGGAGGTAGTAATCCAGCAACTGCTTAAACAATGCTGCACAGTAAAGTAAAACACACAAAACCCCATATCCTCACACTCCTCCTTACAAAGCCATGCTTGGGTATTTACAGGTTCTGCTTGCCTTTTCAGGAACAGCATAATAATGTCTACATGCAGCTGGCTTTCCACTACAGCTGCTCAGTGCTTTTCAGACACTTTTCCTCAATACCTCACTTCTAGGCATCACCTGAATTTCTTACTGCTTCAACTTAGGGCCTGCACACAGTTGAGTTACCATGCAGGCAAGTTGCAGCCCTCTCTTCACATATTCTCAGGACATTATTACTCATGTGTAACACACTATGAGCATTAAAAGGTTTCTTGGTCTGGCTGACAAATTTAAATATCACACTGCTGTACCTTTGTATCTTCTGTCTGAACCTTCTGTATGTGACTGGACAGAAACACAAGACACATGGATCTCTGGGTGCTCTGCTATCTAGAACAAACTTCAAACTTCATCAGCAATAATTTTATATTTGCTTCCAATTCACTTTCAAAAGTAATGAGCTAGCACAAGAGCCTACAGAACTCCAACAAACCCAATCCTTCCTATTTAAGGATTATACCTTATTAATCTTAATTTGAGGCCACCCAAGTAAGACAGCATGCTTCTGAAAAGCACACATTTACTGTTTGTGTCCAGCTCTGGCAGTGATTTTTGTCCACAGATCTCAGAGTGCTCTACAAAAGTTGGTCTTATCACCCCATTTCGGAGGAAGACAGAGAGAAGTGAAATGACATCCCAGTGAGTTAAAGCACTCTGGTACCACAGGACACCACATCTGAAGACACAAAACTGTTATCCTTAGAAGATCTTCATAGATTTTCACATAAATGAGATCTGCCTGTCTTCTACTTGGTTTTCCTGACAGACTGCTTTCAATAACCAATCACCAAGAACTATATCTATATAAAAGAGGCAGAAAGTCTTCAATTTCACCACTTAAAGAGGCATAAGTGGTGAAGTCTAAGAGCTTCTGCCTCTTCATAGTGTATATATATTCCAGCACAGATCTGTCCCCAGATTCTCTTTCCTCTTACTGTAGGGACACACCTAAGATGTCCTGATCTGACAGTTGTGGTGTTGATACAATGACAATACCAACAATCTCACTGACAGTGGAAAAGAATCAGTACCATAACTCACCAGTACAGGGAAATCCAACCACTCAGCTAAATCTTCTCATTAACCAGAGAATAGATTTCTTTCTGTGCAGTGCCACACATCAGGCAAAATAGACCAAAAAGCACCATCCTGATCCAGAAGCAATTTCAAGACCAGAAAACATAATTAGAACAGGCTGTGCTCTGGTTCTGAAAAGTACCAAATAAACCTCTTATCACTGCATAGCAAAAGCATACTCACGGCTGTATGCAAAGAGAGAGCCCACAGCAAAGAGCAGGCTAATTGCTAGCACTGGGGCTCTCTTCTGCAGCACATCAGAAATCAAGCCCTGGATAGTCCCACCTAAAAAAAAAAAAAAAAAAAAAAAAAAAAACATCATCAGGCTCAAGATGCTAACACCTTGAAGAAAACTCATTTCACTGAGTGTGATGACCTCTTGCCTTCTCATCAATATGCATTCTCACTAAAATCCTGAAAACTAAGTTTCCTGCCCTTCCTGCACCTGACAGACAACAGTAAACTCAAGTGGCTCAGCACAGAGTAAACTACTCATACTGATTTCCCAGGAATTTATTACTTCTTTTTTTCTGGCACGCAACTAGACAATGCTCCTGCTTTCCCTTTCCTTCCCATATAGGACCATCACAGCTTTAGGATCACAACTCTAGATGTAAGCTTAACATTGTGGCTGGTTTCTTTAACAGAAAGTACAGGAAAAGGCAGTTCTTTTTCACAGGGAAAGCATCAGCACACAGGGCCTCACACTCCCAGCTGTCTCACCTACTTAGGGTAGGTGCAACTAACTGCAACAAATGCCAGTAGCTGATAAAAATCACCTTATGTATCACTGCGACCTCTGTAGGAAGCGACCTCTGCTCTGCTGGTAAAAACTAGAATGTTGAGAAAGCCTAACATAGAAAAGGCCACAGAGGCAAAAAATCTGACTCTGAACAGACCAAAACAAGGATATCTATTCTAGGAAAGCTAACCGTACAAGGTAATAAAGCAAGAAACTGAGCACAGGAGAGTGGAAGTCTAAACACATATACAATATGTTCTTTATTCTGGAGGAACAGAGTCAGATTTTGCAACCAGCAGAAACAAGTGCAATTACATTTTATTTCTCAACATAACACAGTTGTGCCTGCTCTGCTGACATCTGCGCTGAGTCTGTTCTTAAAAATACAGGACAGAAGGGATAGTACAGAACCCATAAGTCCAGATCTAAACTATTCCTCAAGGGTACTTGTCAGAAAGGAAGCAGCAAACAGCAGGGACACCATTTTGTACACAGCACTTTTCAAGAAGTCCTAGTGAGTAAAGAAAATAGCCCGCTGGGGGTAATGTCCAAGAAGAGATAGTGGCTTTTAAATTATATGTAAACTCTTTAGGGGGCTCACATACTCTGTTTTTTACAAAAAAAAACCCAACCCAAACAGCCAAGCAGCCACATACATAACTAGACTTTTCATATATTCAGTAAACAGCGAGATCACACTGAACATGACTGCTCTGATCTGTCTTTCATTTTCAAACACTATCACAGGGCAAGCGCAGGAAGATGTCATTGACTTGCTCACTCACCTATGATTCCTCCCACATCATACCAGATAGACAGCTGGTCAGCTTCTGCTTCTTTCCATCCAAAGTTGTTGCTGAGGTAGAAAGGCAGCCAGAAGAAGAATGAGTAATTCACCAGTTTCAAGCAGGCATAGGCCAAAGAGTACTGGAACAAAGAGAGGGCCAGTAAGCAGTTAGCACTTGAGAAACGCAAACAGCATTCCTGCTTCTTCCCACAAAGCTCTGTATCCAGCTAAAGCTTTCAGGGGGAAGTGCTTTTGCATTTCACATAAGAAGGCAGCATTATGAAAGCTTACTGCTGAACATCAAAGGGAACCCAGAAGTACAAACTTCACTGAATGCAATGGGTTAAAACATTTTAGTGTAATCTTGAGAGGAAATGACACCAGGCTTCAAAAAAATGAAGGAAATTTAATTCACCTTCTGAAAAGAAGGGAGCCATCCATGTGACATGAAACAAGTTTGAGATTTAGTCATCTGTGCATCATGCTGAGAAAAGTTATGTGAAGTAGTTCCTCTGAGCTTTTTGCTGCTCAGAAGGCTCATCTGCTTACAGCACCAGCAAAGAAACCTTCATTCATAATCCCCAGGCAGGTATTCCAGGACACAAGATGAAAGGTCTGGCCAAAGTTAAGCACATGCTTCCAAACCCAACAGCTGAGACAACCTCCTGCTTTTGGCTGCTGGGCTCAAGTTCTCTTTAGTTAGCAGGAGATCTCCTTCTTTAGAGCTTTCATGTATGTAGAGAAAATTTCTTCTCTGGGATTGCCGGCTCAGCATGCAGAGGGACAAAGCACACTATTTCAGTAAGGCCTCCTGATAAACACTGACAGGGCAGTTCAAGGAACCCTCATTTGAAGAGGTAAACAAGGATGAAGGCAGAAAAAATAACCGGTTAGAATCATAGCTTTTGATATATATGTGTATGTATACACTTGTCTTTGAATTTCAAAAAGCAGATATTTTTATATATTGAACTCCACAAAATTATCTCTTATGAATTTATATTATTTTAATAGATATATCCTTTTTAACTGTATTATTAATGTTTTTTCACTCTTAGAAGACAAACTAATCTCCAACATACGTGTAAGACAGGGATGTTTGGTAGAGTTCTCCTGCCTCTGGGTGTGAAAAGTGCACTGTACGAAGCAATATTTGTTACAACACCCTTAGAAGCTGTCTATCAGATTGCCTGAGTGATTAAACATTGAATTTCTAGAGGCTCAGGGGAAATCTGTACTAAAACTCTTCCACCATATCACTCAGCAGGAGAAGAAAGGAGCTACAGAAAAAATATGTCAAATAAAGCCTTTGTAGTGTCTTGACAAGGCTTTGGAGGTTCTCTCGGTATTTGGTCTGTCACTGATCTGACATAGGCTGGGCACTGCTCCGGCATCAGATTAAAACACACAGGTGGGTTAATATTCAGAAAATGTCCTCAGAAACCCAAGTAAAGAAACAGCAACATCCGTTGTACAGTACCTCCTTATGTTCTGGCCAATGAAAAAGTCACACATCAACTGAAGCAGCGTCCAGGAAGAAATTTTGCCTAAAAAAAGTTCTTTGTCCATCAGCACATTCTTAGCTACATCAAAACCGAGCCATAGTTTATATGGCATTTAGCTGTATTATGAAAGAACTCAGGATAGGTATGCTTTATTTTGCCATCCCTCAACCAAGGTCTTCACAACAGAACTGTGGTTATCGAGCACTCTGAACACTGACAATCCACCTGTACCTTCTAGATTTTGTGTTGCCTTGACCAGAACCATCACAACTGCTTTACTCATTAAGGGTGTCTGACAATACTGCCCACTCAATAGCTCTGCTTCATGATCAAATCCAGACAGTTCACACTGTATTACTGAGCCAGCCATCCCACTCCCTTTCTTGTACTGGTTCTAGCATTCAGGGGGCACACAGCCCACTGACACAAAAAGTTAACATTGTTTTTTCATGGCAGGTTATTTTTTCAGCTGAACCAAATCCATGAATTGGGCAATTCTGCTGATGCAGAAATACAAGTTCTCACACAAGGGACAGGATGAGGATATGAGGAAACTGCATCACCAAGCCTTGTTTCCAGTTGTTTTTTAAAAACACACCTACGTTGCCACGTGTTACATCATGCTAATTAAGGCTTTTCAGGCCCACTTTCTGCTTTAAGACAACTAAAAAAATGCCAAACCCCAATATCAATGCCACAGAGTTCTGTATGATGTTCAACTAGCAGCAAGAACCCCATTCTTCAGGGCAGTGTAGCTACCTTACCAAGAAAGCATCCTACAGCCACCTTTGCTCACTCAGCAGCTAAAAGGGCAGGATCTCTGCTGCCCTTAGTTGGCTCATTACATTGACTAAATAAAGCAGGAGTCTGATGGGAAGAGCAACATGCAGCCACATACCCAGACAGTATTATGATCCATGTGCACAAGGATAACAGTCCCAACCCCAAAGTTTTAACAGCATAAGAAGTCAGACGTTGATAACTACAACACATGGTCAACATATTAACAATGATGTCAATAAATGCTGACAACACAAAGAGTCAGCTTTATGTTTAACAGCGTAAGTCAGATCTCACTCAGGAATCCGTCCTCACCAGTACTACACCCGGAAGGCAACAAGCCTGGAAAAAGCCAATAGCCTTTGGCTGGTCATCAGTGTCAGTTGCTTGAATAGAGTAATTCCGGTCATCATCATCTGCATCATCATTGCCCATTAAAGGTCTGTTGGCATCTTCTTCCACACTGCCATCTTCATCTGCTCCAAGCTCAGGGAGCCCTAAATTTTACAAGGGATATGCATCAGGAGACACAGACCACAGCCTGTTCACCCTCTCCCCACTCTAAAACTACACTCGCTTCTTTTAAGCAGTTCTCCCTTCTAGCAGGTCCCTTGCTCTCCCATACCTCCATCCTCCTTTGGCTTAGAAACTCTTCTAGATGGTGTTCTGCAGTGTCGCCAGTTTCTACCCTTTGTCTTCTAGTGCTCTTGAAAGTATTCTGTCTGATCCTGGCGTCGGCTTTGTCTGTTCTGAGTGTCTGGCCATTAGTTGGAAGACACAACAAATTAGTGCATTTCCCCCCCTATTTAGTGGTTGGGGTCCTTAGACCTGGCTCCTGGGTTACTACTTCCCTTGAGCGTGGAGGCTGAGTGTACCAGCAACTGCTCAGACAGTTGCTGCCTGTTAATGCCTCTGCTGGAAAGCACTGTGCTTTCTGGGCTGCTGAGTGCTCTTACGAGCACTCTTTATGATAGCTTTAGTGCTACCAACTTTATAGCCTTTGTAGGCACCTGGGAAACCTCCTCCGTGGCCTTGTCAAAGCCCCAAAGTTCTTCTGTTTTCCTGTTACGCTTTGGCTTGCCTAACATCTTCTCAGAGAAGGACCATATCCAACTCGAGAGCTATTTAACCAGCTGCAGGAGACCTGAAGATGAAAAGTACTTTCCCTTCCCACTGCATAGTTAAGGCTTGCCATAGTTTTCTCCTACAATAGCCAGTTATCAGTTTGCCTACTGTTTCTTAAAAAAAAATAATTGATTTTTAGGTGAAGGAAAACTGATAATTAGGCACATCTTAATGTACCATTAGAGCCAGGCTGTTTAATTTTGCTTTTAAAAATATCCAGATCCTATACACACGATGCAGGTGTGGCATTTAGTGTGATCTTGGTGAGTAAAGGATTTGCTCCATTAAATACACTAAAGTGCAACACCATTTTGTAAGAGCTCTGAGGATAAGTGCTGTCAGAATAAGCAGTACTTTTAGTACTACATGGAAAGCTGCTGATCTGCTTTCCACAAAGGGACTGAAATGTTACAGTCTTCTTCTACTTACCCACTTCCTTTGGTGATGTCAGGAGCCCGAAGAAGACAATGACTCCTCCAGCAAACTGTACTGAGGCAGTCACCAAGAAAGCATACTGAAGACAAAGAAATATTATTTTTTAAAAACAATTTCAGTCACATAGATTTCCCTGATTAACGAGGGTTTCTTTACATTCCAACCTTGTCAGCGAGTAAACACAGCCACAACCACTCAGACTACAACCATAAAACTTGGAAACAAGTGATCTCTGCATCTCCTGAACAGACTTTGTTCTATCTAGGCTGAAAGACCACACTGAAACAGCTGTTTTAGTGTACTGAGGCAACTGCAGTGAGGAAGGAGCTCACCCAACACAACCACAGATCCATCTATATTGGAAGGGACTGCTCAAAGAAGGGTCAAACACTAAATTCAGACCAGGTTGTTCAGGGCTTTGTTCAATCAGGTCTTGAAATTTTCCAAAGACAGATCCTTCAGGCTTTGCCTCCTACTCCCAGTGCTTAACTAATTTCACAGTGAAAATATTTTTCCAAACATTCAGTTGGAACGATTCCTGCTTCACTTTACACCAAACGCTTTTTAGCTCTCTCACTGTGCAACCCAGGAAAGAGTCTGGCTCTGACTTCTCAGCAATCTTCTCACTGACTTTGGAAGGCTTCTATTTGGTACCCTAAGCCTCCTCGTCTCCAGAGTGACAAGGCCAGCTCTGTTAGCCTGTCCTCTTAGGTCACACGCTGCAAGATGTGCTGGTTCACTTACACTCCCTGTATTCAATTGCCTGCCTGTTGCATTACAACAACGTAGCGCGTGCCTGGCCTCTTCCCAGTTACAGAAGCTGTGCCTTCACGCCTGTCAGAGCCTCACCACTCTTCAGTAGCAGCAGTGACTTCAGTTAAGTGATGGATGACTCCGAAGAGCACTTTAAGCCACCCAAATCAGAAGAGGGTATACTATGACACCAAGGCTCTTCAATAACATCAGTCCATTTACACAGAAGCCTCAGGCTCATTTCTCCCAACTTGGACGGGTCAGGAAAGGAATACCCTTTCACTTCTGCCTACTACTTGCTACCATAGAATTCAGGAAGGTGAAACCGGACACTCTGAGCCTGTTATCTCTCAGAGACAGACAAGAAACTAGTCTCTCATAACCCAATCAGACATGCAGTCCTAGCTACAAGCCAGACAACAATACCTACCTCATAGCCATATTTGAGAACACAGGAGGCAAGGAATGCCCCAAGGATATTTCCCACAGATGCACAGGCACTCCAGAGTCCAAACACAAAACCTCTCCTGCAGAAGGGGAAGAAAATTTGAAAAAGGCAATGTGGGGAGAGGTGACATTAGGAGCAAGACAAAGATAGAACATTTGAGTGAACTTTAACTTATGAATAAAATTACAGCATTCTCCCAGTCCACTTCAAAGAGACTCAAAGGTCACTTAAAACACAGAATAAATTGGGGGTAGTAAATAGATAGTCGAGGAATGTTCTATCCTGAAATACCTGTGTTACAGCAGAGGTGAGCTGGCAACAACAGGGTTAAAAGCTATGGCTAGAGCTCACCTGCAATACCCCAAAGTGACAGAGTTGAACCTACAATGAGTCAGCTTCTATTCAGTTTCTTCAGTGGCAAGTAGACAGAAACAACAGGTTTTCCAGTGGCATGAAAATTCAAATTCAGCCACTCTGCACTACAGGACTTTTGAAGTCTGAACCTGTGTCTTTAACACACACAGCTGTGTTTACATCAAACTGTTCTGTGGCTCCAGGAGGAAAAAAAAAAAAAAAAAAAAGCAAAACAAAACCAAGAGGGATCATAGTAACAAGTAAGGTATATTTCATCCCTCGTAACTTTAATTCTGACCTAAACACTTAGCCTTTTTGGTTTGAGACTTTCAGCTCAATCTGCAACCCAGCACGTCAGATAAGTGAGTCACTGAAGAAAACTCAGCTTACCCAGCTTTTCCAAACCAATTGCCCATGACAGCAACCACACAGGGCCAACCAGTAGACTGCAGCAAGCCATTCACAACCCAGAGACAGCAGTAGAACCACTTGTTGTAGAAATGCAACCATTCTGTGAGTGTGCCAAAGAAGAATACCTAGAGAGGAGGGGTAAAAAAAAAAGCAACAACTAAAACAACAGAGGAGAAACCCTGAGGCTACAACTGAAAGCCAGGCATGAGTGAAGTCTTAAAAAAGAAACAACATTTCAGGAAGGATGTCCCCCACGGGGGCCAGGCCAGAGGCAAGCCTGGCATTGTTTAAGGAACAGCTCAGAGCTAACAGCACCCTCTGCTGAGCCAGCTCAGCACTGACTCCAGAGCGCCAACAACCCCAGAGACAAATGGGCTGTCATGGCACTTGCACTCGAAAAGACTTTTATCTTCGTTAACAGCACAGTTATAACAGGAGAGGAAAAGAAAGAGACAAATACTTTTAGTAACAACACTAAAAATACAGTAGCATCTTGATGTGCTATTGTACTGACATCCAAATCCACAAGGCTCTTATGCAAACATGAAACCCTCACTAGTCATTTCTCTTAGCAAAATTTAACATAAATACTACAGCCAGGTCTCAAATTACTAAGAGCCCTAGCTCAAACTAGCCAAAATAAACACACTTTGTGGCACGCTGTGCTTGATGCATGTTTTGGACATGTGTTTGCAGAACGCAATAGACCAAAGAGGGGTTTGTAGCCTCTGGGTAAATCAAAAGCACTCCACAGATTTCACCACTACTTTAATAAGCAGAAAACCACAATGAGATAAAATTGATTCACACTTATCTGCAGTGGCTTGAACCTGAAGAACCCTTTTATTTTAAGCAGGCATTATTTTTTGACACAAGCCCTCCCAGCAATTACAAAACAAGCAAATGAACGCTTAGCATGGTGAGCATGTCCTTTAAAGACGAGAGCAAAGACTGCGTTTCTGGAAGGAAAAGCCTCGTTAACAACATACGTGGGCTGGGAGAACAGTTATAATACCAAACAGTCCCAAAGAGTCCAAATACACCAATCTTGTACAAAAGCTGTTCATCAGGACTCTAGACAGTGCCTCAAACTTAGGAATTTCCTTCTGACACAGTATCCATAAATAGATATTTCAGGAAGAGGCGAGTCATCTAGTGTAGCTCTCTGCTTTACACAATGCATTAAGTGCATCCCAGACAAAGTCTTACATGCAGACTTTTGAGACCACTGATGTACAGCTACAGCTCATGGGTAGATTCACATAGAAACAGAGCCTCTTTTCCCCTAAAGTAAAACCCTATACAGAAACCCTAAGAGATTTCTAAATCATACTAGTACGTCCTGACTTACCACCAGAGCAGAGGAACACATGCCAAAAGACAAAACCCAGCGTAAATTCAGGCGATCCCCAACTATGCCACTGACAAAGAGACCCTAAGAACAAAACACAGCATTAAACGAAGCCACAAGACTTGCATCTGTTATCTGCAAGAATTAAAATGACATAGAAGGGTCAAGCTGATCCAAACTTTGTCGTTATAGCAACTCAGTTTGATTCTAACCACTTCTGCCACCAAAGAAACCCTGTTCATAGCTGTTGACTAAATTTTTTATTTTTAACAAATTCAGCTGAGAACTCTTGCAGAGATGGAAATAGCCCTTCCACCCACTGGTGACAGGGGTGTAAGAAATTCTCAAGTGATAGTATCTCTCTTGCATTTATTAACCAGCATCTTCACATGGGTGACAGACATGGGCAGAATTAACAGAAATTGAAGAAAAAAAAAATCTGCTCCTGAACAAAGCTTTTTAACCACATTAGTGCTAGGCAAGTCCAGGAAAATGATCCTGTTCATCCCCTCCAAATGTGGGTGTGATCACCACAGTAAGATTCAAACAAAGCTTAGCAACTTTGGGTTAATTTTACTCACCATAGCATAGGAAAACAAAAAGATAGTGTCCAATGTTCCCAAGAAGAGAGTTGCTTCTTCTGCATTTGGAAATAAATGACTGCTATTCCAGAGCTATAGGGAGAAAATTTGAACAGGTAAACAGGGAAAGGCACAGCTCATTCTACTCTTTTTCAATACAAACTACAACTCCAAAGCAGAACAGCATCTGGCCCCAACAACCTCCCATTTTTCCAACACTTTAATTGTCAAATCAAGAAAAATTCTGACATTATCTACTATAGAAAATGTCCACTGCCACTTCACTTCTAAAGGGCAAGCACACCAGAAGTGAGAAACGCTCCTTCCACCTGGATCAAGACAAATGACTGTCAAAACAAACCCTACTTCTAACAAGCATGCAACTGTTAGACAGCTTCTTACACAGAAACACTGATGAGCATCTTAATGAATAATACAATAAAGGCATATTCTGTTTTATGTGCAGTCTCTCTTCTGTACTTATCTTGCTGTCTTCACTATATGAATAATTCCCTTAAAGATTTATGGCAGCAACCATAATAAGAAATGACAGACCACAAACAGAAAAGAAAGAACAGAAAAGAAACAAAGGGAAGGAACAGACTGGTTGGAAACTATTTACAATGAACTCAAGTCACTAATGTTATTTTTTGTGCTTATCCCGAGTTTCATTTTACTTTCAATATGATCAAAAGAAAGGAAAAATACTCAATTGTCCCCAAACTGAGATTAGTGACAACAGCTGAAAACAGCAAGCTTTGAGAATGACTTGAAGAACAAATAAAGTTAATCAGAAAAGTTTTCTTCCCTCCCCACTACATCCCCATTACAAACCTCACAAATAAATCCAATCTAAACCTGACCTGTGGATAGACCTAACTGTTTTGCTGATCAGGGATACCAATTAAACTCAGACATCAGAGTGAAAAGAGCAGGCGTATTTTACTAGAAATAATTAAATAATATAATAAAACAGAAAACATACAGTAAGAAAAGACAGAATAGTGCACTTAAACAAATGGGAAAATACAAGGTAATGCATCAAATCATTACTACCTGAGAGAGAGAATAGTTAAGAAAGATCCCTCACCACTTGCATATGTTACCATCATCCAGACCCGCAGTGGCTGGGGAGCCCCGGTTACAGCGAGGGTTTGCAGAGCCTGTGCCGGCAAGTGGGAAATCCTATGGCGGTGCCTCCACCCATAGGTGAGGCTGACAAAGCCGCTGTGAGCGGGTCCAGCCTTATATACCCAAAAATCAGCAAGCCAGAATAGCTGGCACCTTTGTTTTAAGTGGAAATATCTGGTTTCCATCTCACATTAGGTTCCCCCAGAGCCTGTCCAGGGCTCAAGGGAGAAGCTAAGGGAGTTTTTCTGCTTATCTGATTGGATTATGCGCAAGGTCTCACATCAGGCCTTGGGGACAGACACCTGCCTCCATGACTCTGTTATTCTATTCACATATAAAGGAAGGGAAGGATACATTCAAGATAGCTACATCCTCCATACATATTTCATTAATGATTACATACTGAGTTGACAGTTTCAGTTCAGGGCCTGTTGCTCAGGCTTCAACACTTCCACCTTTTACATCAGAATAGGTGGTTTGTTATAACTTAGTATATATAATCCCTGTTAGCACAATGGTTATCAGTTATAAAATATACAGGATTCATCTATAGGTCAACTCTGGAATGGGCTGATTGTCCAAGCCTTAGCACTTCACTAACTCAAATATCATCAGTTGTAGTTTGATTCTACCGGACCAGAAGAACATCCTGTACAGACAACACTAACTACACATCCACACAGCTGAAAAGATGTAACACTGGTAAGGCCTATCAACATCGCTTCTGCAAGTCTCATGTGTCCAAGAAAACTAACAAATCTCTCGAAAAATACTTTTTGCCACTTGAGGCCACCAATACCTACTTACACCAGTAGCTTTCAACTTTTAACCAGAGATCCCTGGAGGTTCACAAGCTATTAAGAGTCTTAGAAAGACAAGAGAATAAAAACTTTCGGCACTAGGCTTTAATTCATTGAACAACCTCCACAGAACTCACAAATCTTTAAAGGCTGAAAAGTACAGATCCAAGGTACCCTTCTAATAAACTCTTAATAGGGCCTATCCACAAAACAATTGCAAAACATTTTGTTATACTTTAAAAAATATTTTTATGTATAAAGAACAGCTGCAGTTAAAAGATATACCAAAGTTCAAAACTGAGAGCACATAAGTGACTTCTCCATTCACGTCCTTGATCTGTTCTCTATTCACATCCTTGATTTATCAATTTCTCAAAATACATTTTACTGTTAATTCATGTAACCTAAGCTGATACCAAAAGGACCATTTTCCTTGATCAGACACATACACCTCAGCATCCAGCAAACACTAAATCATCTATATAAAAAAAAAAAAAGATCAAAACAGCTTCCAAAATAAACTAGTAGTTTGAATGTCAGTTAAGGAACTAAATATAAACACCTTGTAGTTCATTTCAGCATCCTTGAGATGCTCGGTCCTTTTTGCCATATTATAAAATCCTGTACACATTACAGGCCCAGTTTACTGTTTGCACTTATCACAAAAAGTCAGCATTTATCATCCCTCAGTCAAACATTCAAATAACCAATGATTTCTAATGCAGGTAACACCCAAGCAACTCCCCACTCTAATAGATCTCATGACCTATGACCAAGATTTAATGTAAGATTTCTTCTACTTCTCAAAAGCACTGGGACAAGCCACTGCTGAAAACAAGCATGACCCTGAAAGAACTATGGGTAGGAGACAAGATGTAGGTCCTGTATTCAGATTTGTGAGGTGCAAGCAGTATACAACTTCCTTTCCTGCAAGCAAATGCTGCCAAAACTCCCACCACTTTCACTGAAGCTAGGATTTTAGACAATGTGTACTGGATGTCCAGCATTTTTGAAGAACAGACCTTTCAGATGCAAGACAATTTAGATGCAGCATCATTTTAGAATAAGCAGTTAGCACTTCCAGATAGCTTTCTTCTCTCCTACTTTGGCTATCCTTCTAACAGGGTGGCAGCAGCACCACCACCACAGAAAGTCACAGCCAGGGTTTTACAGATATCTCTGTAAACCCATTAATCGCTCTCGTTTATCACCTCTGACACATCATAGGTAGGGTCCCTTTTTCCCCCATCTCCATGTTACTGGCTATTACAGAGACTCCCCTGGGGTTCCCATTTCCATTGGAAGACTGTAACTTCTTAAGAATTTTCTCTCTGGGGACCACTAGGAAAGATTTCACCATTCCCTGATCATCCAGAAAATTACAATTCAGACACCTGAAGTTCCCACTCTCATTCTGATGGACACTTCAAGGTGCCTCTTCAGCACCACAAGCTCAGCATACTGGAAGTTACCCATCTTTCTTTGCCCTTGCCTATCCCTTGTGTCCTTACCTCATATGGCCGGAGCTCAGGGGCCGTGCTGTTTAGGCAGGAGGGAGTCCATTGGCTGGAAATGCTGACTTTGACATTACTGAAAGTCTTCCTGGAAGCATGGAGCAGGGAATAACTGCCAGAAAACACACAAGGACAGGTTGGCCAAACCTTCTCTGGAGGTCAGGTGGGGAAGGGTGAGACTCAAAATGCAGATACATGCTGTCTAAGCAGGGGACACAGCAGAGGATTGGCAGCTTTTGAGATAGTAGTCAGCAGTGCAAACCCCCAAATTATGGGCAGACACACTGTTTTATTGGGAAGTTGTGAAACAGGGTCTTGACTGGAAAGGACTTCCTCTTATTTTCAAAAGAAGAGGTGACTGTGCAACAACAATTAGGTACCTCAGGAAAAATAATAAAGAGAAAAGAGAAGATGCTCATCTGGCTAACCACCATTACAAGTGGTCTTCCAGAGACAGCTTAGGTATGAGTGGCTGTATTGCAGTGAAGATCAAAGGATATCAGCACGGCAAAGTTTGTAAGGAGAAGCTGTATGGTATTCCAGCTGTTGTCAGTGCAACAGACAAATTAGTAGACCTTCAGAACTGAAGTAGTGACCTCTGTTCGGGAGGCCTGTATACCCTTTGCAGACAGCATTTTCAGGAGAGGACCCCAGAAGCAATGACAGCATGCTCCATCAGTCAGAACAGGCATTAGAGTTGTGAGCACCAGGGTTTGCTTCCTTCCATGTATCAGCTAGCTCCTCCCCAGGTCCACTCACATTCCCCCTTCTGCAGCAAACTGCTGCCAGCTTGGCACACTCAGCCTCACCTTTGGTGTGAGTCCTGTCTGCGGTTGGATTCCCCAGGGCATAGCACACTTAGCTCCACCACTGCCTGACTCCCAGACCAGTTGGTACTACCAGCTTTTAAGTTTGTTTTCAAGGCTTACAGCTAAAGGTTAAGACTATTTCCCTACCTTCATTCCCATTCTTTGGGCATGCCCTCACCTCCCTGAATTCAGTGCAATGAACACTTCTCTGTGCAGAGATACACTCAACCTACCTGAAGAAGGTCAGCAGGAAGACAACAATATGATGGTGGGTGCAATGGGACACAAGGCCTCTGCTTGCAGGCTGCCTCCATAAGCTTCCAGGCAAAGCCATCCTCCTGGCAGCCCCACCCCTGCTCCCGCCCTTGGCCACAAAGGCTGGATGGCGCTTAGGTCATTTTTCTTCTCACTTAAACAGAAGAAAGGGGAAGGAAGGAAAAAAGAAAATATATTTGAATTAAAACTTATGTATAAAATATAGATGTGTTCTCCAAACAGCTGGAATTCAGCAGGAACAACTCTATGCCATTCCTTCCCAATTTGTTTCGCATCACTACCCATTTAGTCACCTGTACATTCCTTGATACCTTCTATGCCCAGAAATGTTTTTTCTCCCATTCGCCTAGCACCCTGTGGTTACATTTTTGTTCCTCTCCTAGCAGATACCTCTTCAGTGCCCATCACCAAAGGAGTTTCCCCAGGATCTACCAACTCCCAGCACTGCCATGTTAAAGACCATTCTGCACTATAGAGTGGCCATAATAAACTAACTTTCCACTGCTACCTGGCTGGCTAGATACTGGTGAATAAGTCAAGACAGCAGAATTTGGTTACATGTGGGGAATGGGTTTGGATCTAACTGCCTCTAAGATGCTGTTGAAAGAATATAGCCAAAAGCGGACTTGCACAGCTAGAAAAAGGAAAGTAACTGTGAGGACAGTGCTGAAATCCAACAGCTAGACTCCCTGCCTATTCATTCTCAAGCTCTACATTATAGCTCCATCTGTCACTAACTCGTTAATACAGCATGTGGCAAGTCATACTTTCCTATTCCTACCTGTAGGGCATGAGGGACACCTGCCTAAACTTCCAGATACCAAATATTATCAGTACTGAGGAAAGGCTATGAAGGACACACAGTTTCTTAGTGCTGGCTCATGCCACACCACTCCTTCGGCTGTGCTGGCACGACTGAGGGGCTGTTTCTGCAAACCAAGTCTGAGAAATGACTCCACTGGGCAGCAAGGTGGTGAATCTCTCTCCACGCCTCCCTGTTGTTTTCTTGGCAGAGACCTTTTCAGGCAGATTTCCCTGTCACGGCTCACAAAGCAGCCACACAAACACCTACATCTGTGCAACAGAGAGCAGTGCAGAGGAAGGTATGCTATATACTGATGTCGCTGCTGAAGGCAGAACTTGATTCTGTTCGCTAGTTGGCTTATGACAGCTAGACAAATCAGTTGGTGGGAACTGCATTTTCAGAAAACATTCAAAAATCATACACATTCTGAATGCTGAGGAGAGGTAAAATAATGCACCACCCCCGTTCCCCCAAAGAATCAGAGATTAAATAAGATTAAACATAACATCTGTGTATTCTTTTGTATCCACGGGTGCTTTTAGTAACAATTTGTAAATCTGACAGAAGACTTTTCAAGTTCAGCTTCATAACCTCACTCAGAGAAATAAAAAGTCATTGCCCAGATTCTCTCTCACCTGAATTTCTGCTGCTGAAAAACCTGTATTTCACAGAGACTTTCTGCTCTTCCTTCTACTAACTCTTAAAGATTCCACCAAGACAACCTTCACTGTAAGAAGCCTGCCTTTCCCATTCTCTCAATGATGATGCATGCCTGACTAGATACCAGCTACTACTGGGTACATTAACCATCGTGGAAACTGAGGCCACATCTGACCTCCAAAACAGAGTATGGCATCAAAATCCCCTGCGTAATATAGATCCAGTATTACGCCTTTGACACTGGAGTCAGATTTATCCTAAACCACACTCGAATGCCTCCATTCTCATCCAGGACAAACACAGCAAGTCTATACAAGATCCGAGACCATCTGTGTCTACGCAGCCCCAGTGCATTTGAGCCACACTGCCATTGCTCCAGCTAGCACAGACCACCCAGGTGTGCCAGCACCTTCTTGTAGGGACATGCTTCTAGACTGACTGGGTTGACACAGAGGCAAAAAAAGCACCTACAGCTGGAGCTGCAGGAAGGCAAGGCTAGCCCTGGAAGAGGCAACTTCACAAGTTATCTGGTACTACCTCTACTTAAGGTCCCAGACCATTTCTCAATGTCAGTGAATGAAAACTCAGCACCCACACAAGTACCACATGGTGCTACTCCCTTTAAGGCAGCAGTAAAATTGCTTAGGGCTGCCCCTGAACATGCAGCATAAAGGAACCCAAGGCACTCCAATTTCCCAGCACCACGGTCCTTACAGGCCTGTCAACCACGGGGCCTGTTGGTCAAACACAAGAGTTCATTCTCGTTCCTTGCCCTCCGCTCGCCTCCCGCCAGGCAACAGCAGGTAACAGAGCTCTCCTGAGGAATGCAAAACACTGCCAGTTGTGCAACGCTGTGGGGAAAAGTTCCTTCCTCGGGTAATCAGTTTGAAGCCCAAAGCACAAGATTTACTACTTGCTTCATGTCAGCATATACAAATATAGATCTTATTTGTCCAAGATACCGAGTCTTTTTGAAGCTAAGACCTTGTTGTGACCTTAAAGTCACTTATATTTTTTATGGCACTTACTACAGAAATCATCTTTTCAATCTCAGCCACTTCTTTAGAAGACCTGGCACAGGATGACACTTTTCGCTGATTTACAATATAGAGATGACTATGAAAGACTTTGTTTTCCCTTTTTTTTCTTTCTTCATCCTGTACTTTTTACATTCAAAACTGGTGTTTTCCTTATGCTAAACTAAGAGTTTATCCTTTGAAATTAGTCTTCTGATAATACCCCGTTAAATTTGTAGTGGAGGGGGAGCAAAAAAACTAGGAGGCACAAACCCCCCACAGAACTCCAAGCAGTGCAGCACAAGCCTTTGAGAAAGGAAGAGGAGGGCTCTTACGGCGTTAGACTGCCTTGTCTGCTTGTTTAGCTCTATTTACCTTCAGCTAATGGGTATTTTGGATAAGCTTTTGTTAAGCTTTGCAAGTTCTCCCTTGTCCCTTCACTTAAGGTCAAAACAAAACCCCTAAAGTTCAAAATTTCCTTAATACCACCCTGCCGTCCTCCAAAGCCGGCAGGAAAGCCCAGGGCTTAACATTCCTGGGACTTCCAAAGCGCGAAACAAACGAACTTTTTTAAAAAAAAAAAAAATAATAATACCACCACACTTTTTCATGGCAAGGAAAGAGGCACAGGCCCACGCGGGGCCCCCGGTCCCCCACCAGCCCCTGTCT